CACTTCGCTTCTTCCCTCACCCCCCCACCCTCCTCCAGCTGAGGTGGGCGTGCTGAGGGAACGCAGACCATGCAGATGTTGACGTTCCACAACGAGAGTTGTGCCCACATCCGTTCTGAATGAAGACTTTTTGTAGCCTACAGCGAGCTGTTTGGAGCAACAATAAAACAGTCGGCAACAGAACACGGCACGTCTACGGTGCAGTTCACTCCCAGCGCCACGGGGGACAACGGCAGCGGCTTATTGGGGCTCTGCAGAAAAGTATGCAAGTGTGAGTCTGTTGGTGAGTTGGAAGTAGCAGTGTGTGTGTGTGTGTGTGTGTGTTGGGGGGGGTTAAAGAAATGCGTTTGCTCCTATTGGAATTTAAAGTTGTACATCTTTAACAAGGCTGGGTAATCACAGTATTTGCATATAATTGGACTTTAAAGTACACTTGTTTCCATGTTGACCACTAGATGATTAATGTCTCACATAACGAGCCGGCCAAGTATCGCCACTTATCACCACCGACGTGTTCATTAGCCTAATCGCGAGGAAGTCCTGCACAGTTAGCTAGTAAAGAATGGCATTGTGTTATTTCACAGCATGTTGGTAGTACTATAGTAGCATTAAAAGACTGAGTACTCCCAAATACACAAATCAACAACGTCTTTTTAAATAAAGCACAATAAATATATATATATTCAATGGCAGTAGTGGAGAGAGTATAACAGATGTAACTACTAGTTTAACTGTACACTAAATTACTCCTGTACATTATAGTCATTACAGATTATAAAATATTTTCCATTTTGTATCACGCTGGTATTTTAAAATAAATAAATAAAAATAATACTTTGTGTTTGGAGTCCATCTCCTTATGTGAACAATATTCTATTTTTTTCTTATCGTGTTCAGGGTTTTCTATGAGTTTTGTCCTAATTCTGGAACCAATAAACTTTGTCATATTGTATAGAATCACATCATATGGTTGTGTACTGCATCATATCTTAGCTTATAATTTCTCCTATAACCAAATTTATAGGAGTTATAAAACCAAACTTTTCTTGTCTTAACTGCCCAGATTGCCCCCAGAGGCAGAATGTGGAAAAGCATGCTGTGTATCTCAGTAAATGATTATTATTAGTAGTAGTAGTAGTATTTGTGTATCTCAGTAAATGATTATTGTTATTAGTAGTAGTAGTATTAGCAGTCATAGTTGTATATGTTTTTAGTTGTGTTATACATATACATATATATATATGTATAATAACATATAGCCTATTACACTGAAACACTACTGCTACTAAATATACTATATAATAGTGGAATTAGTAGTTTTATTCAGAGGTATCAACAAGTACAACAATAAACACCAACAAAAACAACAAGAATAAACACAAGAAGAAAATAGAAGCAAATAATTACAGTTTCATCTCCAACCAGGACAAACATATCTGGTAACTCGACGATGTGATACAAGAAGAACAAGAACTGTGGAATAGAAATGTGAGCATCACCACACCCTTGAAAAAAAAAGAAAAAAAAGAAAAGAAAGTCTGTCCAAACTAAATTTAAACCTCATTTTCTCATTAGTTCAACCGCTACTAACATGTCAATCGAGTCTGACCAGTGGTTAGACTGACTAGAAGTCAAGCCAAAATGACGGCAAAAGAACAGGAGGGAGAGAGGAAAAAAAAAAAAAAAAAAAAAGAAAACCAGCAGACAGTCGTCAAACACTTGTAGACGGTGTGGAGTCAAAGTTTCTTTGACCACAACTGAGTCGCCGTGTCGATAAAAACAGCGACAAACGGCCTCAAAGTTGATGTTATCATTAAGAAAAAGCACAGCTTTTCCGTCCACGAACACGGCATGACAGCTGTTTTGGCACCAGCGCCGCTCCTACTACTACTACTACTACGAGTCACGGGAACACGCACTCGTGCAGTACACACACATTTCCTTGCTAAATCGCAGCCCAAAGTAATAGATTCAAATGCATCTCACCTGTTTGGAGACGGTCGACACACTGGCCCGCAGCTTCATGTTGGCATGTCGTGAGTGTAGAAGCAGTTACAAACAAAAAGTGGGCTTTAAACACGGCGTGTGAGACTTGTTTACAAAGTTGTTCACCGTAGACTGTCATTGGTCTGAGCAGAGTTTAGTCGACGCCCCAAACCTCGGTCACTGGGCCGCGTCTCAAACGGCGTCGCTTCCTGGACTTTCGCTGCCTTCCTGCAGAGCCAGGGCGCAGGGAAGGAGGCGAAGAATGTTTTTCTTTCACCCTCGACATTTTGGAGCAACATTAGGTCGTTTTGGCAGCGTTTTAGTGCACGAAAACACACACGGGAGGGGACTCCGTCACATTTGTGGAGCGGAAGCAGACAAGTTGTGTCAATGCCTCGTTGTTCCTTCAGCCTGGAGCGGCGAACATGCATGTTTGCTGCCCACTTCATGCTAGTCCACTACGAGTCTCAACGGAGACCCACGTGTGTCAAACGCAAGGCCCGCAAACTGGCCACTGGATGTGGTCCACGGCGTTGTTTTCTGTGGACCACCAACAACCAAAAAACATCAGGATGTGGTCCATGGCGTTGTTTTATGTGGACCACCAACAACCAAAAAACATGCTACTATTCTCTTCATGCTCATTGGTTGGCAAAAATAAATCACGTGAATGTGTAGTATTTAATATGGCCTGAAGATATTACATAAAATAAGAATATTTACTACATAGTTATGACTTGAAGGTGTTGTTCTCAGGTCAACATTGATTTTGTTCAGGAAGTAAAGTACATGGATGAATCCACACACCATTTCTGCAAATACAAGTTATTTAAAGGCATTTTGTACACATTCATATATATGTATATATAGTATATATTTATATTTATATATATATCAATCAATCGATCAAATAACAAAATAGTGTTAGTAGTCTTTTTTAAAGTTTCACCTTAATCCAAGTCAAGTATTTTCCCAACATTTTTATGGCCTTCCTGTGTCATTTCATGAAAAATAAAATGTTGTCTTCATTTAGCTGTGAAATCTCCCCACGATTAATCCAGCTGCTCCAAGACGCGCTGCACACTGGCAGTGTGAAGAACAGAATTATTCATGTTCATCTGTTTTACCATGTCTCTCTGTGTGAGAAAAAATAAATATCTGGGGCTCAAACTGAACCACCTTTTTTTTTTCAGAGCGGCTACCTGTTCGCAGCCTAATTGGATGAAGAGGGGAAGTCTTTCTTCTCCAAACAGCATGAAAATCCAAAATCAAAACAGTATGCAAATTGAGTTAAAAGATATAAAAAGACGCCACAGACATAAATGTATTGTTTAATTAGCCTCAGCAGTTTTGATCTCCGGTTCTTGCTTCTAAAATTATGCAGAAGTTTTTCTGTGTTTGCTTAATTATGATGCTTAATTCGTAGACGCTCCTGAGGGTGAGACTACACTTCGGCAATAATTAAATCACAGAACGGAACTGGAATGTGGAAATGTGTTTCCTTTTCCCCGCATCCTAATCTTTTTTTTCATTCCATCTGAAGTAGAACATTGTTGGAAAATACTTTTTCGGTTGATGCTCTTATTCCTTATTCAGATAAAACGTGATTCAGATGAAAGAACCTGGGCAGACTGCAAAGTTTAGGAAAATACAATGTACTACAGCCTAGTCCTGTTTCTATTCTAAATCTGTAGATACCTCTGAGGCTCAAACCGCTGATTTTCTTACTGTAAGGCAACAGCACTAACCCCTCTTCCACCGCATGGCTCCTGAATGATTTTTCATTTTAATAAATCTCACAAAATTTCAATTTTTTTTTTTTTAATTTTAATAAATCTCACAAAATTTCAATTAGTGCTTCACAGCTTCATGTTCTTCTGGATCCGACTCTGGCTCAGTATTTTTAACTGAAAGGTATCTTGTTGTTCGGTATCCTAACAGTTTTGCATACCTGCCAGAATGACATACACTACCTCACTGCACAGGCTTACAAAAGAAAAAAAACACTCAATTGCACACATGCCTACAAATCTGGTACTTTCCTGTCAGCGATTGCTCTCCAACTGTTCATCTGTTGCCATGGTTACATGAAGCCACCTTCTTCATGAATGAAAATAGCAGCTCATTTTCCGCTCAAAGGTAATGACACAAATACCAGAACAGAGCTGTTAAACAGGTGTGTAAATATACCAAAACATATTACTGACATTTTATTTACACATCAAGAAACCAGAATATTTTGTTCAAAAGCAGCGTCATGTAGCTCCTTGTACTGTCCGTCCACTTCACCCTGCACCGACATAATCTCTCACTGCTGCTGCCTGTGGATGAAAGGTGACTGTCTGCCATGAAAAACCAAACGTACCATGTTCGGACCCTAACCCATGAAGCAGCAGTGTTGATAGACACAGGTTTTTGGCAGTATTGCACCCCCTGCCTTTGGGTTTATTGCAATACAAGTCATTTACCATTTTATTTAACTAGAATTATTCCTCATAGGATTTTTTTTTCTGTCTCATTTCACTTGTCACTGTATCTGACAATAAATATTTACAATCTGATGTTGTTTGTTGCTACAGAACATAAACTACCATAGATGCGTTTTTATTATTATTTTTTTATTACTATTGCATGTTCCTCACTGATCCACGCTCTTTCCAACAATCACCTCCAGCATGCTTGAAACCAGCAGATTGTAGATGATGTGCTGGCACAGAGGTCAGAGGCCAGATGGAGCAGAGGAGAACCTGATAATTCCCTCCCCTGGCTGCCGCTGTTTGTCTGATGCTCACTTTGGGAGAAGTCGCAGGCCAATTACCACCGTGCCAAATCCTTAATCCCCTCTTCTACCTAAGACACGAGTCTGTGAGACTAACAGTGGTGCTCTGACGGAAAGTAATTAAGAGCGATCCCTGACACACAGCCTGAATGTTAGGACTCAAAGCTCTACTTTTACAGCCAAAAAAAAAACCCCTTCAGCTGCTCTTGAACATGTACTCACATGCACATGTTTTATTACCCGTGTGCACAAATTTTCAGCGGTCGAAATTGTCAAATCCTCTGCAACATTTGACTCGTTATTCATGTTATCTTCTCCTCGCCAATCGTCGTGCTTTGTTCATCTGGCGAGTTTCACTCCCACATTTCTGGCGTGGACATTTGCTCAGGCCTGACGATCGACACCAACAGCCTGAGCATCACAGCCGGCCATGAGCAGGTGTGTGTCCGCCTTCTGCAGGAACACACATCCGTGAATGTCTCTGTGAAATTTACTAATCACAGTTAAAGGCACGGTCCAATCACCTCATTTACCTCTTGTTATCGTTAGCGAGCGATTTCTATCAGTCTCACCTCAGTGGCTCCATTAAGGTGTCCAAACATCAACTCTGCCCAGTGGATACTGATGGAATAACATTCGCCGAGTTGAGAAATTATTAATGTGGACGCTAAGTGTTACTGTCTACCAACATGGCGGCGATGCCAACGGAGAGTAGCCTCTGTGAAACAAAGCCTTTCGTCTCATCTCGGTTGATTCTAATGGCCCTAATCATCACTGATATGTGTGTGTTTTTCAGGGAGAATTGACTGTTCGCTGCTGTCTGCGTACGGATGTTTATTAATCTGAGCCAGCTCTTAAAGTCATGGCCGAGAGACAAAGTGATGCTAAATGGGGGAGAACTAAAAATCCATCACCTCCAGTCTCAGGGGCTCCGACGGTTTTACACAGAGAAGCGTCAGTAAGCATTTGATGGTAAATGGTCTGTATTTATGCTGTGCTTTACCCAACCCTGATGGCTGCACAGAGTGCATTTATGAAGGTCCATTCACACCGACGTTTACAGCACACACACACCAAGGTTTTTTTTTTTACATCATTATCACACATTTACATAATTGCTAGCAGGAGCTATTTGGCTGTATGTTTTGCTCATGGGTATACCAGCAGGTGGAATGGAACTGCCAACCTCCTGGGTAGATTACATACCAATCTGCCTCAGCTGCCCTTTAAATGCCCTAGTAGATAGATATTAAGTTAAGATCTTTGGACAGAACCAGGGTAACTGGTCCCAGGTGGGGCTTTTATGCAAACATGGGGGGGTTGGGGAGGGGGGGGTTAACTCTGCAAGAAAGCAATTAAATATATTTTCCAAAAGCGGCTTCATCTCTGTTCAAAGTAATTAAAAAAAAGTAGCACAGAGCATGATGGACTTCAGAAGAAGCAGAACCTATAGTGTATCTTAAAGTACAGAAGAAATGTAACAACTTTTATAAAGAAATCGGGGGCCGTTAAAAGTAAGGTAGAATCTATTTCCTTTGTGAAAGCGCTGAATATAATGGATCAGAGACTTTAAACAGTTTGTGTCTGACTGAGATAAGGTGAAAATAATCTTGTTTTTATACAAAGGAAGGAAACAATAAATGTAAATAAATCAGTTATATAGTATATAATAAAAACTAGCTATGTCCAATATTAACATTTTGCCGATGTCCAATTGGCCGAACACTTAATTTCCGATTCCGATATCAACCGATACCGATATAGGCCTGGTAATATTTATTTATCTGTACAAACCACTGTATTAGATTAGAATTAAATGAGTTGCAATGCTGCCATCTAGTGACTTTTATTAAAGTGAATTTAATATACAGCCGTTTATCCCAAAACTATTCTTAGGGGACACATCTATTGGTGAAACTCAGGCATTGCGTTATCATTGGTAAAACTCAGGCATTGCGTTATCGGGATTTTATTGGGATTTAATTATTAGAGGAAAAAAACAATAACGGTTCCTACAAATATTATTATCGATATTACCGATTTATTGATATTACCGATATTATCGGACATCCCTATTAAAAATCAGTTTTTGATTGTCCCTGTATGTACATGCACATAATCAATCAAGATGACAACAATAATAATATAACAGTGAGTTGACGGTGTTTGCACCATCAAGTGCCTCCTCCATCTGCAGCAGCTCAACGCAGCATTCCTCAAGGTGTGTCTTTTATTTGCCTGCAATGCCATAACAACACATGTCTATATTTACCATCCGTCTCAGCCATCAAAACAACCCCAGAGACTTGCAGGTGTCTGTCACTGCCAGCAGAGGGAGAGGAGAGCCGACGAAGTGACAGCTCGTACAGAGAGTCTGTGAGATGAAGTTGTCCGCGGAAGAAAAAAACAATTTCACCAACAACCGTTTAATTAACGCGGACTTTGCACATCCGGGCTGTTCAGTCACGTGATGCATCCGGACAACAATTTTAACACTGTTTTTTTTCCCCTGCAAACCTTCATCCCATCAGGGGTTCCGATGCCACAGCAAAGACTGGGTTGTGTTTAGACCCCTGCTGAGCCATCTGGCCTGCAAGGTCTCACACGTCTGACATCCTCGACTCTTTATAAACACATGAGGAAGAAGAACATCTGTTTCTTGCCTCTCATTCATACATTCAGCAGTAACACATACACAGTATTAGGGAAAGGTGG